TCCAGAAGATGAACACTAAAATTATGGAGATAGATAACACACTGGAAGGACAGAAGAGTAGAACGAAACTGACTGAAGAATGCACATCCCAGCTAGAAAACAAATCCCTTGACACCAGCTTTTATGAGGAAAAATCAGAAAAGAGAATAAAGAGAAATGAAGGAAACCTGAGAGTTTTATGGGATAATATCAAAAGAAATAACATACATATGACTGGAATTCCAGAATAAGAAGAGGCAATAAAAAAAAAAAAAAATCACAGAGAAAATCATTGAAGACTTGCTAACAGAAAATTAGAGGCATCTGGTTGAAAGGCGGAATTGATGTCATAGAAAATTATGATAACTTTTTTTGTGAATATTCCTATACATTCATATGGGATTTTACATTTTTATTTGGTTTTACACATATTGATTTTTATAAAAACTCTGTGTGGTAGATAATATATCATTCCCATTTTACAGATTTGAGAACTCTTTGGTTCAAAGAAGTTAATAATTTGAATTTCATTGTATTATCTAAAAATAGAACAAAGCTATATAGAAAAATTTATTGAGATCCTACAATATGCCAGGTGCTGTTCCAGGAATACCAAAAGGTCCTTGTTCTCATGGATCTGACATGTAGTAAGTGTACTGTTGAGACTCCACTGATGGACTTTTATTCCAAGTCCAGTGCTCTTTCTACACACTTTACTCATACCTTGGAGCCACACACACACTTTAAAACTCATGGAACTGTGTACCAAGAAGGTGATATCGACTATGCAAGTTATGTACAGTTAAATAAATTATGTAATTATATAGGCAGTTCATTACATCAATATATGTAAAAAATTGAGTGAATTCATTTTAAAGCAGCAGCAGAAAACAAATAAAAAACAACTCTTACCCTCTGAGAAATCTGAAACTCTAATCTCATATTCCAAAAGAAGGAACAAAATTGGGCAAATATAGCATTAAGTGAGAGAAGATTAAGGTGTTCTGGTGGTGCAGTGGTTAAAGCACTCAGCTTCTATCAAAAAGGTCAGTAGTTCAAAGCCGCCAGCCACTCTGCAAGAGAAAGATGTGGAAGTCTGCTTCTGTAAAGACTTATAGATCTGGAAACCTGATTGAGCAATTCTACTCTGTCCTATAAGGTCACTATGAGTCAGAATCAACTTGATGGCAGTGGGTTTGGTTTGGAAGAGAAGACTGGTACAGTGGAACCTTAATTTCCAGAACCTGACTGACAGAATGTTCTTGTATGCATATGATATTGGCTACACTCCACTTTTAGGAGAAAGCAAGTGAACTATTTTTAGAAAGAAAAAGAAATCCAAAGATGTTATCTGGGAATATGCTTAAAGGAATCATTGCTAGGATGTATGCCAAATGTAATGGTGTGAAGCCTGTAGGCTCTGGAGCCAGGGGCCCTGAGCCAACATGCCTGAGCAGCTTCACCTCTCAGTGGCTGGCTGTGACCTTGAGTACTCTGGATCTAGTCTCCTTCTTTGTAACATAGAGGTTGTAATAACACTCACCTCATAGGGTTGATATGAGGACTAAATAATACACTTAAAATGCTTTTAAGCATTTTAAAATAGCAGCTATATCTCCCCTACATTGGTCATGTTGACAGAAGGGACCATTCCCTGGAGAAAGATATCATGTTTGGTGAAGTGGAGGGTCAGAGAAAAAGTGGAAGGCTCTGAATCAGATGGATTGACACAGTTGCTGCAACGATGGGCTTGAGTGTAGAAAGGATTGTGATCTGGCACAGGACCGGGCAGTGTTCTGTTCTGTTGTACTTAGGATTGCTATGAGTCGGAGCTGACTTGATGGCACCTAACAATAACATGCCCATCATTATTCCATTCTCCTACATTTCACATGCTCAGGGCTGTATGATGAGAATCAAATCACAGAAGTTAACGGTAATCTTTGTAGGCATTGATGATAAGTTCTTTCAGAAGTCACAGAGGGCAGCCTGTTCTCAAAAGATAAGGTTGAAAAGTTGTAGCCTCTGCATTTGCAGACTTTCCTAAGGTTTTCTTGGATGCAGCCCCATGTCCCTGGTTACCTGGTGAGGTTATATGAGGGGGTGGGTAGGAGCACATACTTTGAAGTCAGAAAGACCTGGCCTTGAATCCCAGTTCTGCCATGTCAGGCAAGTTCCCTAATCTCTATGACTTAGTCCTTCATTCATAAAATGGAGCTAATAGTAACCCCTACCTTGTAGGTTGTATACGGATCAAATGCAGAAAATGTGTGTAAAGAGTGGAGCATGGAACCTGGCTTATACTAAGCATTCATTCAACAATAGTTTGGACAAGATAAAGCAGCTTTAAAAGCATCAGGATAGCAAAAGAAGACCCCTTCTGTGCCACACATTCTCCTGGGCCCCTCCAGGCCTGAGGCATCTTCCAAAGACTTTGCTAGTATTGGTTTGTCTTGCTCTCAAGTGATGATGCTAAGTGTCTAACCTTAGCTAAGGCACTTTTCCTGGTTGCTTTTGGCAATATTTTTTAAAGTATTTTTTAAGTTGTAAAAATTGTTTATGCGCTTACCAAGCATATTTTATTATGGGACTGGGAGTTAGAGGTTAAATAGATGCCCCAAATAGATTTCTAATTATTCAGCGTTTTCTTATTTAATTAACTTATTGATTGTGCATCTTGCTCCTCTGAGTAGGGGCAGTGTCTCGGCTGATAATTTTGCATATCAGAAGCCCAAGACCACCAGAGACATGGCTAGCATTTCTGCAACTCTCTTGGCAGTCCATCAGCTGATGTGGGGATTTGGCACACAATCTGTGTGTGGACAAGATTGTACATCAGCAGCAGTGGGTTTACCCTGGGGGAATCCCCCTGCCTTTGAGTAGATTCTGACTCATAGCAACCCCATAGGATAGGGTAGAACTGTCCTGTAGGGTTTTCAAGGCTGTACATCTTTGTGGAAGTAGACTGCAACATCTTCCTCCAGTGGAGCCACTGGTGGGTTCGAACTGCCAAACTTTCAGTTGATAGCCAAGCACTTTAATCACTATGCCACCAGGGTTCTTTGAGGGAATATGGACAAAGAACTGTTAATAGGATTCTAATTTGTGGGACAGTGAAGCATAGAGATGATGGACACAGATGCCCATTGGAAAGCACAGAGCGATTTGAGTAGCTTGATGTGGCTGGAGTGAGGGAGTGGGAGCAAGAGTGGCAGGAAATGCATCTAGGAAGGTAGGCAGCAGCTAGACCCTGAAAGTCCTAACATAGCATCTTAAGGGATTTAGACTTTGTCCTCAGGCAACTCACTGAAGGATTTAAAAAAAAAATTTTTTTTTAAAGCAGAGGAGTGACACAGTCAGGTTTGTATTTATAGATCGCTCTGCTATCAAAAACCCTACAGAGCAGGTCTACTCTGAACATACGGAGTCACCATGACTCACAATTGACTCAAGGGCAACTAACAACAGCTCTGCTATTAGTGCGGACCTTCATGAGAATCACCTGGGGACTGAGAGCCAATGCATGTCCTGACTCAGGAAGTCTAAAGTGGAATTCTGCATTTCTAACAAGCTTCCAAGTGATGCCGATGCTGGTGGTCTGGGACCACACTGAGAAGTGCTAAAGTGGAGAGGGTTGATAGAAGGAGGGTAAGACTTGGGACAAGCAGCCCAGTCAGGAGGCCCTAGCAATAGCCTTGGTGTGGGATGATGATGGAAGTAGCATTGGAGAGTGGGCAGATTTCAGCACTAGATGGTGTCAACAGGGCTTTGTGATTGCAAGGAGAAGAAGGCCAAGGGCCCCAGGACTCTGGTTGGTGCGTGGAAACCTCACCCCTGAGACACTGGATGCAGCAGGAGGAGCAATTAGGGTGGGGAATGACGCCAGGTTTACTTTGCCACATTTTGTGGCTGAGATGGCTGACTTGCAGGGGAAGGGGCAGACTGGGAGAGAAGAGTGTCTGCATACAGCATCACACTTGCCAAAGACAACAGTTTGTCATGTGACCCTAAGCAATTTAATATACAGGCAGTCCCCAGGTTACAAACATCCTATTTACAGGCAGCTCCTACTTGTCCTTTAATGTTTTGTAAATTTGCCTTTATTTTGAAATTTTTGAAACAACACTGCTGTTGAGTCAATTCCATCTCATAGCAGACCTACTGGGTAGAGTAGAACTACCCCTTAGGGTTTCCAAGGCTGCTACATCTTTCTCCTCTGGAGCAGGTGGTGGGCTTGAACTGCCGGCCTTTTGGTTAGCAGCTGATCACTTTAATCATTAAGCCACCAGGGCTCACTGAACCAACCCCTCCCAAAAACCAAACCAAATTCACTGCCATCAAGTCTATTCTGATGAATAGCAAACCCACTTGGGTTTCCAAGGCAGTAAATCTTTATGGAAGTAGACTGCCTCCTCTTTCTTCTATGAAACAGCTGCTGGATTCAAACAACCAACTTTTTGGTTAGTAGCCAAGTGCCTTAACCACTACACCACCAGAACTCCTTGAACCAATCCCTACTTGCAACAATTTCTTCCTCATAATCACCTTCACTTGTAGCACGTGCAGCTTTTAAATCATTGAAAACACTTCAAGTCTTTTCTTGTGTTAAAGTAAGGCTAAATGAGAACCATATGCACGTGGTCCAACTTACCTACAAATTCTTAAAGCGCTCGTAACCCAGGGACTGCCCTCATCTCTGTGTGGTTCATTCTCTCTAATGATAAGGCTATTTTGCCTTTTTCCCTCCTAGGGAAATTGCAAGGATTGCAATAATGTGTGTAAATCATATTACATCCGTAAAAAGAAAAGGGACATCTTTTAACAGAACTTAAGCTTCTGTCTTTTCCTCCAGACCATCCAAAATTATATGACAACATTCACACTAAGTTCCACAAACTAAAATGTCAGCAGGAACCTAAGGCTGTTTGTCTTTTTTTTTCCCTGCTTGGAGATTGTTTGGCAAAGTTGTAAAAAGACTTAAAATATTTTATTTTAGGGGAAAAAAAAATCACACAACGCACCTGGTCTTCTGTTCACTGTTTCATCAGGTAATAAGGTTAGGTCATGGTCCTTGTTTCTTGGGATGCTTTGAAGAATTTTCTTGGCCTCATGTTCCCTCAGTTTTTGTTTGTTAACTTTTGCCTCCCTGTGAAGACTTTTCTTCAATTCCATTTGGGCCTGAAAATCATCAGTTATATAGATTAATACTTTCTCCAAGCTGCTTTTACCAGAATGAATCTACAGAGCAGTTTGTAAGTCGTGTGCCTATCTGCAGACCTCTGCAGTCCCTAGCCAGAACATGGTTTTCTATTTCCTACTAGAAGGTACAGAAACTCTTTTTATTCATAGACTTGTTAGGAGAAAGGAAAATATGCTCACAGTCTCAAAAGGTATGGCTTAAGATGAGGACTTCTGTACATCAAAAGACTTTGTCAACAAAGTGAAAAGATAGCCTACAGACTGGGAGAAAATTTTAAGAATGATATATTACCTAAGGGTCTAATATCCAATAATATATAAAACTTTTACAACAAAAAGACAAAACAGCCCAATCAAAAAATGGGCAAAGGACTTGAATGGACAAATCACCAAAGAGGATATCCATATGACCAACAAACACATGAAAAGATGCTCAACATCATTAGCCATTGGGGAGATGCAAATCAAAATGACAATGAGATATCACTTCTCTCCATTAAAATGGCAATGATAAAAACAAACAAGAAAACAAGTGTTAGAGAGGTTGTAGAGAAATTGAAACACTCATCCATTGCTGGTGGGAATGTACCGCCACTGTGGGAAACAGTTTGGATAGTCCTCAAAATGTTGAACATAGAACTACCATATGACCCAACAATCTGATTCTTAAGTGTGTACCCAAGGGACTTGAAAGCAGTGACACATACAGACATATGTACACTAATGTTCATCGCAGCACTATTCACAATAGCCAAAATGTAGAAACAAAAATGTCCATCAACGAATGCATACACACACAATGGAATATTATGCAGCCATAAAGAGAAATGAAGTTCTTCTGATGCATGCCACAACATGGATGAATCTTGAAAACACACAGAGCCAAGTAAGTTGCAAAAGGACAAATACTATATTTCACTTACATGAAATAAGAAAATATATAGAAACCAAAGATTATTAATGGTTATCAGGGTGGGAAGGAGGGACTACAGGGGAGTATTTGTTTAGGGAGCATTGAGTTTATATTAAAAGTGGAAGCATATTTTGGAAAAGGATACTGATAATAGTGGCACAACATGACAAGTATAATTACTGTAATTGAATTGTAAATGTGGAAGTAGTGCTGGTGAATGTTTTGGTGTGTATATTTTCACAACAATAAAAAATAAAAATTTACAAAAAAATTCAAAAAGTGAAAAAAAATCCATAAAGACATCTGTAAAAACATTTCTCTTTAGGCTAGCTGATATGTTTGAAATTGCATAGGACAGTGGCTACTGGCTTATTCACTAGAGTGCAGAATTTAGAATATGGCAGTTATAGGGTTTGTTACAAGAGGTCTTTCTTGTAAGATAATTCTATGACATGAACCATAGAAAGGTGGTTAGGTATCAAAATAAAGGCCAATGCACTTCCCTGCTTTAAACTAAAGCAAGAAAAATTATGTAACCCCATTTTTATCCTGAGACCAGAATTTCATAGATGCAGCCTCTTAAAAGGGGGAATCCAGTTAATTGGCCCAGTATCATATTTAGTGTTCTTTCTCCTAGTTCATTGTGTAGTGCCTAGGGTCTTAAAAGCTTGTAAGTGGCCCTTCAAGGTACAATTGGCTTTTATTCACCTTGAGCAACAGAGGAAGAAGAGTCAGGAATAGGAGGAAATGTAATGTGTGGCTAATTGCCCCCATGAACAACTGTCCCCTTTACAATAAGACCAGGGGAACTGGATGGTGTCCAGCTACCATTACTGAACATTTTGATCAAAGATTCTACAGAATAATCCTGATCAAAAGGGGGAACATGCTGAACAGAATTTAAAACTCTTAAGGGCTCCAGACTTTCTGGAGCCATGGAGGCTGGATGAACCCCTGAAACTATTGCCCTGAGATCATCTTTAAACTTTAAACCAAAAATATCCCCTGGAGTCTTTTTAAAACCAAACAGTAGTTCAACTTAACAAAGAATCTCTGCCTTGAGTATGTGCTCTTTTAAAATCTGTCTATATAGGATCAAGGGAGCTCTGGTGGCATAGTGGATAAGGCACTTGACTAACTGGAAAGTCAGTGGTTCAAACCCACCACCGTCTCCACGGAAGGAAGACAGGGAGATCTACAAACGACTTGATGACAGTGAGTTTGGTTTTATATAGGATCAAATTGATAATAGTAACTAGAAAGAGTAGATAGGAAATGTAAGGGTCAGTGAGTTTCTGCTAATGGGGGAGGAACAACTCAGAAAAGGAGAGTGAGAATGGTTGCACAACTTGAATGTAATCAATGTCATTGAATTTTATATGTAGAAACTTTTGAATTGGTGTATGTTCTGTGTATATTCTCAATAAAAACAACAAAATTAAATTACATACACACAGACACACACGGGAGACTTGAGACACAGATACACCAGTAAGAGGACTGAGCACAGAGGAAACACACAACAGGGCTGTTAGCTGAAGGGATCTTCCTGATTCTTCCCAGCTTCCGTAGTTGAGTCATGAGTGCCAATGACTAAATTTAAACAGCCACGTAAAGACTGGTGATGTATCCTTGTGTATATTCATGTTCCAGGGTGGCAATTATGTGGAGTACATTTGGTAAATGTGATATTCTTCATCTCCTCAAATTTACCTCTTGTTTTTTACGGTTCATTTCCAGCATTTGCATCTTATGTAAATATTGTCTTTTCCCAGAAATATATGTTGGTATTTGCATCTTCTTTTCCAGTTCCTGCTATGAAAGATGACACACTGGTTAATATGGATAATTTGTTACTGATTCTGGAATCCATGACTTTAAATCCTTTTTGGAACAGAGTGTAATATCAACCAATCAATTAATCAACCATTGATCCATAGAGATCTACTGTGACATCAAAGGTCAACCATTACAGTTCCCTTAAAGGGCACTTTGCTGTATGTATGATGCAATTTTTTAAAGTTCTAGTAGAGCTTTGCAATTCTCGAAATATCTTTCCACATCTCCTTGTGACAAGATATTATTCCCCATCAACAGATGTTTATTGTGTTCAGGTTTGATGAGACTCTCTCCCCCTGTTTCTTCCACCATTGATTAATTGTCTGGTATGAAATGTGAGTGGGGCCATTGAATGGTTGAATGAAACCTATTTCTACAGAGTACACTCCGAAATACCAATATAAGCCCTGGAGAATATTGCAGTTTAGGAAGAATTTGAAGTTGATTAGTTGTGACTCTGGTGATCTGCCCCTGGTGAGTCATAATCTCCAGTGGGACAGTACAGATGGTTACTGAGGGCAACCAGGGCCAATGCACCTTCATTCTTCACTTGCAGTTGTCAGGAAAAGGAAGCGATAGATCCTGGAACACCTTTCACATCGCCCTTATGGACAGTGAATGTGTCTAGTGATGTGAACCTCAGGGAGAGGGCCCATCTTTGAAGGTGCTGTCAGCACCACAAAGGTGCCCTTCAGGGCCTGACAGTATGTGGGCATATTTTACCAGGTAAGCCAGCTCCACAGCAGCATCTAACAGGATCCAAAATGATTAGGAAGGGCAAGTGTTGAAAACCTGCTCCATAGTTTTCCTTTCTGTGTGAGAGCAATTCTACTTAGCATAGTCTGACAAGTTTGTAACAGGAAACTATCTACAGAAGACCCTTCCAAGCATTACTTTTTGGTGAAGTTGTGGCAAATAAGTCATGACCAACTTTTTGATATGAGTTTCCCTCAAAAAAAAAAAAAAAAAACAAAAAACTCTGAGAATGAAAAAAAAAAAAAATTAACTGAGGGGAGGAATGAAGATAATAAGGGAAGAGCTATGCTGGATCTTCCACAAATTTGAACACTTCTAGAATGACCAATTTCTAAGCAAAATTCCTCTCATTTACCTACATCTCCCTGTTTTCATCATGTAGCTGAGAAGGGCTCGGAGCTAATTTGAGAGGAAGTGCATGGTCAGTTGGAAGTAGACACAGGAGAGAATGTATAGCTTTGAAAAGTTCTAACTTTGAATGACTTCACAGTTTGATTTGTGTTTCAAGTCCCCTGTGCAGGGAGTACATGAAAAGGACGGCTTGCCACCCTCTCCCACCCCCTGTGTCCCATACAGCCTTCCCTCAGTCCCCCATCCTCCCTCATTATTGCCCCAGTTCACCTTTGTTTTGTGTGTTGTCCCAGCTTCGTGCTGGCTCAGGAGCCTTTCAGAAGTAATTACTTGCGGCAGGTTAATGGGTTCAAGCTTCTGGAAGTCCAACATTTAGAACATTCAGCATTCCTCATGCCATGAGATGATGAAACATAAAAGTCAGATATTAAACTATCTTAACACTTTGCAAAAGCAGCACTTATTCTAGAGAGTTACAGGGAAAGTGATTTCAACAGTATTACGGTTGTATCCATGCAGAGGGCTTTCCAGCCTATCTAGGTTCTTTATTGTTACATTACACTGTTGTCAGTGACTTATTGATCTAAATACTGGTTAGTGAGTAAAGAGATTAAGAAGCCTTTTCTGCGTGCACTGAGGGATAATATCCAAAGTTAACAAACAACGAGGGTTTTAGAATAGTAGAGATGAAAGAAGCCCCAGGAGATGATTTTATTCATCCCTTAACCACCCAGCTGAACTATTCCAGTTCTTAGAGAAGTGACCCGTTTTTCAGATCTCCAGAGAAGATTCATCAGCCTCCTCAGTAATAATCACTGGTGCTTATGAGGTACATTTAAAACAAAAGTGCAGATGTGCAAATTGAAATCTTAGAGACGTCTTTGTCTAGTGGGAACTTGGCCTTACAGGGCGATCACGTTGGAGTTTTGATGGGTTCCTAAGACTGAGCAGCCATTGATGAATCAGTAGGTCTGCTTCCGACCCTTCTTGCTTCAGACAACTTAACGCTCAGGAAGCTGGAGCTCTGGGAAGTGAGCAGGGAGCCAGAGATGAAGGCTTGTCTCTTCACATTGACAAGTGTTATGGATTAAATGTGTCCCCTGAAGTATGTATTAGAATCCTAATCCCTGTACCCGCAGATATAATCCTGTTTGAAAATAAGGTTTTCCTTGTTATGTTACTTAGATCCTACCCAAGTAGGGTGGGTTCTAAATCTAATCACTTCTGAGTTACATAAATTAGACATAGAGGCATGCATACACAGGGGAAGCAGGTGCCATGTAAGGATTATCTACAAGCCAAGGAATCAAGGAACACTCGGGACTACTTATAAGCAAGGAATCAACACTACTGAGACCCTGATTTGAACTCTTTTAGCTTTCAGAACTGTGAGAAAGTAAATTTCTGTTCTTTAAAGTCACCCACTTAAAATATTTGTGTTACAGCAGCCCTAGGTAACTAAGACAACATGCAAATGAGGGACTTGAAGGGGCACAGAATTTATTTGCTCAGTGAATGGTTACTGAATGACTGTTATATGTCAAGAATGTGTATGCAATGGTCAGCAAAACTGGGCATGATCCTTCAAAGAGTTTTACAATGTATGGAGGAAAATATACACTTTTGCGTGTGAGATTATTTGATTAATAATTGTAAACTGCCACCAGAGCTTTGAAGGAAAAGTCCACATAGAATATCTAACTGGAGAACCCCACCTGGGAGGTAGAGAAGAAGATGGGTAAGGAGACAATCTGGGGAAGTTTCAAGAGAAGAAACTTTTCAGCAGAAGTTGGAAGGTTGAGAAGGAGTTTTTAGGGCAAATCTGCTGCAAAAGACCTCTCTATAAAGTGTTAGAAAGCAAAAATGTCACCTTGAGGATTAAGGTGAGCCTGACCCCAAGCTCATATGTATGTGAAAGCTAGATAATGAATCCAAAGATCAAGGAAGAATTCTTGCCTTTGAATTATGGCATAGAATACTGAATATGCCTTGGACTGCCAGAAGAATGAACAAATTTGTCTTGGAAGAAGCACAGGCAGAATAATGCTCTTTAGAAGCAAGGATGGTGAGACTTAATCTTACATACTTTGGACATGGACATGTTATTAGGAGGGACAACTCCTTGGAGAAGGACATAATGCTTGGTAGAGAGATTAAAAGAGAAAGACCCCCAATGAAATAGACTGACACAATGGGCTCAAACATAGCAATGATCACGAGAATGGTGCAGGATCAGGCAATGGTTCATTCTGTCATATTTGGGGTCAACATGAGTTGGAACTGACTCTGTGGCACTTGAGAATAACAACAAAGTGTTACAGGCAGAGGGAACAGCGTGTTCAATAGCCCTGAGGAGAGAGGGAGTGTGACCTTTTCAAGACACTGAAAGAAAGCCAGTTGGCTGGAGTTTAGAGTGAGTATAAGAATGGCTCAAAATAAGGCTCAGGAGGTAGGCAACAGACAGATTGTGCAGGTCCTGATAGGCCATTCTAAAGATGTTGGTTTTCTTGAGAGCAATGGAGGCCAATGGCAAGTGTTAACCAAAGTAGTAACATGATTCATTTTC